ACCACACACACACACACAACACCACACACAAACACAAAACCAAACCACAAACAAGAGAAACCCACACACCATAGGGCCAGTTAGAACAACAGGGTTCTTATGTATGCCTTCTTCCTCTGCACTTGCATAGTACTCAGTTTTGGAAAGTAGTATTGTATTAAATGGTACATACCCTGATACTTACCATGAAAGTGAAAAATTCTCAGAAGTGAGAATTTCCCTAAAAGGAACACTTTTTGCATAACAAGAAATGGTGGTCTATTTCATTTATTTTAAATACTTGACTATAAATGGTCAATATATTTTTCTCACCCTTACCTTGCACACATTAAAAAAGCAGAATACACATCTCTCAAGCAGAGCCTGTTTCACAAACAAGGAAACTCTCTGCACTTGCTCCAAGAAGAGAGATATGTTAATTTATGCTTGAAGAATCACTTTATGCTTTCACCTCATGTTAAGTAGTCTGTTTCAGACTTGCACAAATGCTTGAACTGCCTTTTCCTCACAAAGTAATTGCCTGCTAAAGAGTGAATGATAGTCACTAAGTCTGGAAAAAACATCAGTGCAGGTATCTTATCTAGAGCAAAACATATTTAAACTCTGATTAGAGATTTCAGCACTACAGGCAATCCTAGAGAGGAGTTCACTGTTTTGGGTGAGTAAAAATTGATGTTTAGGTTTTTTGGACTACAGCCAAACAGCAAAAGTTTCAATTTGCTACTCTGACTTGTGAAAATAACACCTCAAACCCAAACCAATGAGCACTTTCCTTTATTTGCCAACCTCCAAAGAATTGCAACTTGTAACTGCATAAGATATGCAAAGGTACACTTCACTCAAAGAAATAGGGAAAGCAGCTTTCAGATGTCTACGGTGTTTTGCTAGAGTCCCAATTGCAGACTACGTTGTATAGCTTACATTTCACCATGCTGTCCTAGAAAACAGGATGTAATTACCGAATCGTTTAGGTTGGAAGGGACCTCTGGAGATCATCTAGTCCAACCTCCCTGCTCAAGCAGGGTCCTCTAGAGCATATTGCCCAGGATCACATCCAGATGGGATAATTGCTATATACACATTTTAAACACTGTACTCTTGAACTTCATTTGAATCCTTGTAGTAGAGTACCATAAGCCTTCACATAGTTTCCATAAACAGTGAGAGACACTGGAACCTGTGACAGAATTCCAGTCCACTGGTATCTCCAGAACCCCCTTCCAATAGCAAAGGGGTACAATCATTTCACACCAAAAAGAAAAACACAAAATCAGTTTTTCCTGTAGACTCAGACTCTTTTCCACAGCAATATAAAATTGGTCTTTTCACAGCTACTTTGAGATACCATCATTCATGATAGTTCCTTCAGGCTAAAGCAGGAAAATCCTCAGGGTCATCAGGATTTGGAGCAACAATTTGCACCTATAAAGTGAGAAAGGAAGGTTTATAAAAGTTGTATGCATTGCCAAAGCATCTGGCAGCCTTTTTTGTTTTTACCCTGAAAAAGCTCTATTCCTCTAGTCATCCAAATTAAATCTTTATAGTATTTCTGTGAAAGTGAAGGGATAAATGTTTTATCTCAAAAGACTACCATTATTGTTATGGTGTGAACATGTTTATGATACTGGTATACTGCCTGGGTAGGACCAGATCTGCAACACTGAAATGGGAAAAAAATAAAGTCAGCCTTTCAATATCACCCATAATGCACACTACTAAAAAACAGGGTTATTAGCTTTTTACATTCTAAGGCTATTGCACATATTTAGATTGCAGTTTTAAAATCTGTGGTCTGATATCTTAGAAGAGCCTCTTCCTTTCATTCAGATGAGGCAAACTGCATCAAATCATTTCCATATCATTCTTCAAGTTTCAAACTTTAATTAAAGCAAGTATTTTACTCATGCCAGACAAAAGTAAACTGAGACCTTGCGTCACTGACGACTAAAGATGTTTTTAAATGGTCAAATGCATTCAGATTTTGTTCCTTTTAAAAGGGAAAAGGTCAGCATAAGTTTGTTTAATTTAAACCATTTTCATTGAATCAGTTTAATACAGTCTTCAGCTTACTTAGTAAACACTTGTAACCTCCTGCGTCTTCATCTATTGGGTCCCAGATTTACCGATTTCACTCTCAAAGTGCTATCGGGGCATAACATTGCTATTTCTTGTACAACAAACAAGTCTTTAGTCATTTTAATTACTTCCCCATTTATACCAAAACTCATTGCAGAAACAAGTCTTCATTACATCCCTTCCTCTAGTTACCATTAGAGCAAATAGTAATCTGACCATTGAAAGTTATGTGTTAGTTATCTAAGGTGAACTAGAATTTAATTTTAAGTGACTCGATATGGGTCAGGAAGTCAAAATAACCAGGTTAACATATTTTGAGGTAGGAATTAGAAGTAATTCTCCTGTCACTAATGAAATCTATCATCTCATACAAAGTAAAAGCAGCAAAAAAAAAAAAACCCCAAAACACTATTACCACTACTTCCGGTTGAGGCCCTGCCTCCTCAACTCGTCTGTCACGACCACAACCACCTCGTGTTCCTCTTGATCCACGGCCAGGGCGAGGGAGACTCCCAAAATTAATATCCAGCTGAGATGTTATGTCATTTACTGCTCTTCGGAAGACGTGAGAATCATCTTCAAAGTCGTCTTTTTGCAACTAAAAAGAGCATCTGGTTAAAGCCTAGAACTTCTACATACAACCTTCCTCCCTCCCCAATGCACACACACTTGTGTTGCAAACTAAGCAGCAGATTAGTCAAGATGACATCTGGAATTGGAGACAGACCTTAACTTACACAGGGTTTGAACAGAAGCAAGACAATCAGTTTCCCAGATGCCTGGGCTGCTTCTTTGTTGACTCATACAGTCCTGAGTACTAAGTCTTCTAAACCAGCTCCATAATAACAAAGTTTTCAGCAATACAATCTACAGGTTTTCTAAGGAACTAGAGAATCTGGCTTAAGCTTCTTATTCCTACAACTATCTTGAAATGGTTAAAAAGCTATACTAAAGCACAGTAACTACATTGATCTATTACTCTATTTGTCTGTAGACATGAAATTATTGCTGTTTTAAATCTGTGTCCACAGGAGCTAGTGGATGTAACACTTTCTCATCATTGCATTGAGGTAATATGCCAATATATATGTAAACTCACCCCATGCATTGATGAATCAGTTATTTTATACACTGTTTTAAACAGTGATCTGACTTGTCCATGTTATGCAATTCTTGTACCTCCTGTTCCAAGTTCATTTCAATAAGGTCCCTTGATACTGCCAGCTAAGAAAGTTTAGGAGCAAAAAGAATAAGCTTGCATATATTCTTCAGAGCCTGTGAAAGCTATTCATTATTTTGTTTTTTTGGCAGGGGAAGAGGGAGGTGGGGATGATGGCAATTGTGATCATCAAAAGCTGTGCTAAAAAGGACACAGGCAACCTCAGTATTAGAATCGATCCCTAGAAGGGCTTGATGATCAAAAGTGATTAAGACTTATAAAAAAAAAGCTGCAAGTGTGGATGTTAATATTAGAACTACACAAAGAATAAAATGTATATTGCACACATACCTTAATCAAGGATCAGAACTCCACCATGCTAAGCTATGACTATATGCAAATACTTTCGCAACCCCCAAAAACCCCCAAAATTTAAAATCAAGGCAAGCAATAATCTGAGTGAATCCTCCCCCCTCTCCCCAACACTTCCCAATCATATCAATAAGCTACAATTCCTCCCCAAAATGTCAGTACCAGTAATATGGTGGAACAAGAGGGTGTGGGTTTTTTTTTACACAGATGAGAAATAGATAGGACACTTAGCATCAAGACTAACAGATGCCAAGACCAAAGTTTAATATATATATATATGCAAGCGTATACTGGCAAGTATGCTAAACACGATTCAAAGTTAGGATAAAAGTAGTATTTAGTAAACCAAGTTTCTCCAGTGATGTTACCAGAGATCTATGCAGGTGACAGCAGCAAGGACACAAATTTTATATTGCTAAGCCTGAACTATAAGTTAGAACAATTTGAGATAAGTATTATTTGATATATTACATATTTGCATATAAAATAGGGGCAATGATTTGAAAAGAAAAATGAATAGGTGATAAGTTTAAGGCAAGTTTGGGGGCACATATATGATTACAGTAACAATGCTTGAATATGGATTTCTAGTCTGCTCAGATTATACTAAAGCAAGCAGAAAAAGAATAGAGACAGTTTCCTAACCCTGAGCATAAAGCAGAGCTTACAGAATTCCTGAGGCAATGCTTACATCGCTATATTTTGACTTGTGAATCACTACTGCTTTGGAAGGAACAGTGGATTCTGGCTTCCGGATGTTGAATTCAGGCTTTGGTCGATTCCGTTGCTGAAGATTTTTCCACTCATCTAACGTCATTTCTTGAACTACTTCTTTCGTTGGCTCCCCTTCAGCAACTCTAAAGGTTTATAGTTGTAAAGTAAAAACCATTAGTTTGCAACATGCCCAGATGAACAAGAACACTAGTCTCTAAAAGAAAGGATACGAAGCATTTGGAATGCTTCTTAAACTGCTATCCTATCTCCAATTTTATTTATTCCCCACACTAACTTTAGGTGAGTTTTATATTAATATAAAGTTGGAAATATACTTATGGCCTGCTTGAAGCTGGTCTCATGAACAAATGCTGTCTGCAACCTACTGTAATAAGTTCTGGCATTTTTCCAGTTGTATTGTAAGTTCAAACACATCAGTGGATCTACTCCTAGCAAATATAGCCATAATAAAGAGACCCCTCCCACATACATACATATATATACACACACACCCCCACACCCACCACCAAGCAGGTTAAAACACCTCAATTGCAAGGTTTTGTTGACTGCAGGATAACATGAGATGGAGTCATGTTTCAGTACAGCTTTCAGTCCTCTAAAAAGAGCCAACCATATATGGAAACTTCTACATCATTATTAATAGGTCCTTTGTGAATTTCACAAGATTCTTTCACATCTTTTGTCAGATGCAGTAGAGTGCAAGGAGACAGTATCTATCACCTGCCAAAAAACACACAGATTAACCCTGGTCCAAGTTCAACTTTGTCACACAAAGTGCAATAATGCTGACATGTTCTAGGAAAACATAAGGAGCATGTCAGAGTCTGCCTTGCATATTTTTGAACTAAAACAAAAAAATCCAAGGCTGTATGTCTGTTCAGAGATACATGGAATGAGACAAAAAAAAAAAGACACACACTCTCCATCACCCATCACTACTTGACTATTCTTCCTGCCATTTTTCTGATGCTGACCATCATCTTGCCCAGGACCAGCAGCTGCAGGTGTACCTTTTAAGGATACTTGCAGAAAGCTATTCCCTAGCAAACAGGGCCAGATGCAGAGAGCACAACTCATTTCATCACATTTGTTTGTTGCAGAACAAAATCAGATACAATGAACTACAGGAAGCCTTGCAGCGATTAGTCCCAGATACTTGAGAAACTGCTTCACTCTTCTCCCACGCCAAACTATCATGCATGGCAATAATAGTTAAAGATGGCTAAGTATTTCACTAACACTATTCCCCCCCCCACCCCGATGTATTTCCCTGGCAGGATCACAGTTCAAGTTTTCCTCTACTAAATCCTGAAAATTAAGAGTAGATTTTTCCAGTGTAAATATACAGCTGATTAGATGCAAGTCGGAAATTAGTTTTTAATCACAGAAAGATGCAGAGACAAGTAACAGTTAGGGAACTGTGTGTTCTGTCTTTGAAGTTGTACAAGTTCCCTAGCAAGACACACTCATTTGTTGGGAATGTTCTGTACATTTAGATTTAGCCTATGTAAGAATAGGCTTATTCCCTCTTTCTACTTGATCTTGCACATACCTGCTGGTCAACATTATATCATTTTCCCAAAGCACCTAGTATATGACAAGTAGAAGCACAAAACTGAACTGAATAGTAAGAGAGCTTTAGGTTTGGTCTAATTCAAAATAGATTTAGAAATAAACCTCATAAAAAAGACAAAGGTCAAAAAAATATGCAAGTCCTGTACTACATGCCTACCCTCTGACATGCCTTCATATCCTGTTATTTAGGAAGTTTCAGGTGTAAAAAAGTGAAAACAAAGATGAATGGTAAACAGTTTGTAATTCCATACTAAGATGATCTGACTATATTATTAAAAGGACTGTCAAGAAAAAGGTTAACTCATTTACTGAGTTAAATGAAAAGGATACTGGTAAAAGACTCAGTTACTTCTAGAAAGAGACCAACAGATCTTGTTCCATGTGCAAGAGCATTTAAGAACTGCTTGCACCTCAAACATTCCAATTTGTCATCCTGAAGAGGAAGAAATCAGATAGTTTCAGACCAATTATCTGAAGCTTCAATTCTGGGAATATTTGTTAGAAAAAAACAATTATTTGTAAGCATCCAGAAAAAAACACCCTAATAAAAAAGGGGTTTTAATCAAAACAATTTAACTTCTTCCTTAAAAAAAAAAAAAAAAAAAACACCACACAACCCACAACGCAACAGCCACTGACAAGAGAATCAGTAAGTCAAGTATCTGAACTTTAGGGAAGGCCATGAAAAGTCTCATCATGTTAGGGAGACAGTTTCAGTCCTTGATGAGACCTGTAGGAAGATAGAAAACTGGCTGCAACACACATTTGGGAAGTAGCTATTAATCTCTTAATTTAAGAAGAATGTGTAATTGAGTGGAGCTTTAAGACCAGCTTTCTTCAGTATTTGCAGTGTAACAATACATTCACTACATTTTCTATGGCACAAAGTCCAGGGAAGAAAAGGACAATAGTGCATGTGTTTAAGAACACTGAAGCACTGACTGAGTGTTATGAAATCCTAAAGAGCCCAAATAAGTGGTTAAAAATAATAAAAACAGAATGTGAGTCCCAAGGATGAACAGAAATACTCAGGCAAAAGTATCAGCTGCCCAAACACAGAATGAAGAACCGTTAGCAAGGTAGAAGCTCTGAAGGAACCCCCCCATGCACCCCAAAACATTATTGCAGGTAACTTAGTCAAACTGAACCTTAAGATCAACAGCATTTGCCCTTTTTTTAAACAGTGTAACATTATAAGGACATACATCAACAGGAGTTTTGTTTGGAACAGACATCATTGCCTAGTAGAGTGGAAGGATTACACCATGTCTCAGCTGAGTAATATATTCCAGTCAGTGCCAAGTGGGAACAGCTAGAGTTCAAAAGAGAATAACAAAATAGATATGAGGTCTAAAATACATGACCTATAAGGAAAGTCTTTGAAGAGGAGCTGAGGAGGAATAAAAATACTTAATGCTAAAAAAAAAACATCTTTGCATACCTATAGCAATTAAGGTAAGATATTTGGAAGGGGGGAAAGAAATACCACCACAGTAGCTTCTAACACTAAAGGATGGAGAAACATTGGAAAGAGCATCCAGGGATACTGAAAACTATCACCAGAGGACTTTAATAAGCAACTAGACAGGTATTAAGAGTGATATAGGTATAGTTGGTCCTGCCTTGGGTCAGTAAGACTCCGTTCAGACTAATTTCCTATGATCGTAGTACAACAGAGGATGTTCTGCTATATAGCAATCACAGGTGTTATTTAAATAGGTATGCATATCTATCAAAAACAACCATTCCTGTTGCAAAGGAAATGTTGGAGCCTACATAGCAATTTTTTGGTTTCCTCAACTTGAGAGCATGATTTGATCTTTACTTGAAAGGATTGTTTGAACTGCTAGGTTATTAACAGAAGAAACATGTTTTAGAACACTGAGAACCCAAGGGGAAAATCTCCCATTAGCAAGACACAACAATGAGAACCTACATATCACGTTTTGGATAGAGACACAATTGTAGCAAGTTATTTTAGGCACAGAATCCACCTAGAAGTGCACTCTGTGCATTACTTTCCATCTTCTAATCCTATTCATTTTTAGTAACTGCTCATTGGGTATTTTCATTAATGAAGTTGATAAGCTCCTTGGCACACCAATGTTTACAAAATAGTGCCAAATACCTAAGCATGGCCTCTGGACATGTGAAAACAATTTCCCCAATGCAAGTATATACCAAAATACCAAACTGGGAGTTTTTAGTAATGGTTCCTACTGCTTCAGTGTTTTTAATGGATGATTATAATCCTTAAACTATGCATTGTTTACTATGCATATCTTTCTTCCAGGAACTGCTCTACATGAACACAGTAATACACAGAAACAAGGACTGGAAGAATGGCATTCAGTTCAGCTGTTCAGCTAATTATTTTCATGACATTAAAAATACTGATACTGGGGCTTTTTCTGATCAGTTTTTTCCATCACTTAGCTGCACAATGCTTTCTTGATGAAAAC